TTGTAAATTAGGTATTTCAGTTAAAAGTATAAACGCATATTATACTAAACTTTCGAGGATCATAGTTAATAAGTAATATATTTCATATTTCTATATTATAAATATATATATATTTTATAAAATTGTTGTAAAAAAAGGCTAAAAGGCTGAAATCTAAATTATAATTTGTTTATTTTATTATAATGGTTGACTTTTTATTAGCGTCCGATCGCTTGTGTAATGTAAACTTTCAAAAATGTCAAGATACAAAGATTTTCAAAAAAAAATACCGTTTTTTAAATTATATTTTCGGTTTTTAATTATTATACAGGTATCCAATTTTTTTCGAGTCGGTATTGAATTTAATACCGGTTAAAGTAAATTTTAAATTAAAGGTGGCTTAAAAGTGTTTTGTGATAATGAATAAAAGGAAACTGAGAAAATAAGGGGCACCAAAATCGTAAATACGCCACTGGTACTATGACGTAAGATTCACTCTGTATATTTTTTGCATAGTAAAAAATTATACATTAATATAAAGTCGTTAATATGTAATAATACAATTATTTTAAAGTTAAAGTTGAAAGGGGGCCCACTTAGTGTATGGTGTCTCGGGGCCCAATTGATCCTTAATCTGGGCTTGCTAACACATAATAGTTAGGTAGGTGTAATACAAATTAAACATTATACATATAAAATATAATATCCGTGACGCTTAGGTCATAAGAATATTGTTGAACATTTTAAAGCAGGCTGCGTGTTATTTCAGAAATGGTATTTAATTCGTCAGTGAAGATTTGTTAGCTGGGAATAAAATATATCATAAGCAGACTGAAATGTGAGGACGTTGCAGTGTTTCGAAGACCAAGTTTTATAGCAGATTTTGATTCACCACGGACGCGGGGTATGTATTTTCTTATTTTTCAGTATGTTTCTTTTTATTTTTGTTAATTGATCAGGGGATATATTATTGCCTACAACTTTTCAATTATTTGTATTGTAACTATACTGGTATAACATTATTCTGGCTATCAATAAAGTCGTGATAAAAATTAGGAAATTGGTCAGGTATGCTATTATTGATATGTAGGTACTTCTTTTGAGTAGATAATTCGTTCAATAATATTTATTTTCACCGATAATCAAGTACGATGACTTGTAGGTAACTAGAGACTGAGTGAATAGGAATTAGGAAGTGTATGATGTGGCGAAGATAAGGAAAGAGGTCAACAGGATTTCAGAATGTTTAGCTTATATGTAAGGGAAATGCGAAAAAGAAATGTAATTTTAGGTTAGGTTAGCGAAGTGCGTGTAGCAGATATGAGAATATTAAGTTAGGTGTTGAGGTACAAAGGAGGATAGAATAGGAAATTTATTAATTTATTTTAAAGGTTGTGTAGTGTTGTGTTGTGGCATATACTGTAGTGAAAACAAGAGAGAACAGGTTTAGGTGGCTCCGTGACTGTTTGATAAAATATAGTGAGAGTGGCTATCGAAGTTAGAGACTGAAGAAAAGATAGATAGACAGAATACCGATCATATGGAGGTGTGGGATGAGAGTGGTTGAACCTGAATAGTTGTGAGAGAAGGGGGAAGAAAAAGTGTGAAGGTAGAATAGTTATGTTAACAATGCCGAATGCGTAGTAAAGGATCTTGAATTGCAAAATTCACTTGACTCTTTGGCTGAAACTACCGTTATCAGTTGATATAGGTTTACAACCTTGACTTATGGGATTGAATAAAAAAGATCGGTTGCCGGTTGGGATGTCAGAGCCATAGATATATACAACAACTAGATAGCCGTCTCCTTTTTGTCATCGAAGTCGACCCCCCATTTACAAAGCAGGCAATGTTTACAAAATAATATTATCATAGTATATATGTATATAAATAAATGTAAACATTGCCTGCTTTATAAATGGCGGACGATTTCAACATTGGTCACAACTGTAATATAAAGACGGCTATCTAGTTGTTGTATATATCTATGGCGATGACATCCCAACCGGGAATTCGGGGGAGGGGGGGCAAAAGGAGCAGTTGCTCCAGGCGGCAGGGACGGCCAAATAATTAAGAGTGGCAAAAAAATGTCGTTTGTAATATAATAGCCGCCGGGGCACCGAACTGCCAGAATTATACGCGGTGTTTCCGAATTGCGGACAAAGTGACAAAAACCATGTGAGTTGCGGACGAAATCTAAAAAGTTAACATACGAATTGAAAAATATAAGGTACTAATTGCGGATAATGTTCCAATATTCACGTGGTGAAATCAGTAGTATATCATATATACAGGCTGTTTTAAAAACTATGACGATAATTAATAATGATGATAATCTATAAATATTTTATAAACAATTTTTTCCACAAAATTAAAACAATCTATAATTCAACAACATTTTAAAAATAACGATTGCTCTTTTGCAAGACACAAATATTTTTAACCCCACCTACTAATTTTTTTTTAGCTATTGTCATAAGTTCTGAAAAAGTGGTGAAGGAAAATATTTGTGTCCACAACTAACGTAGTTTTTATTAAAAAAAGCTCTGTACGCAATTAGTATTATGACCATAGGCGCACATTGGGTGTAAATTTAGGGGGTGCTGGGATAATTTATATAATTTCATTAGCTATAAAAGTTGAACATTTTATAAATTTTAAACTATAAAATTATTATTAAATTTTAAATGTGATGAATTTTGTCAAAATTTGAATTTTAAATAATTATAAAAAAAATTGTGCCTATGTATTTTTAATATTTTTCAAGTGTTATTTTAACAATATATCAGGAGCTTTGCATTAAATTTTCAAGCTTTTTTACCATCCAAATAAAATTTTATTGATATGAATACAAAAAAAATTTAAAAAATTGAAAACTGAAAATGTCCGTAAATAGCTCAAAAAGAATCAAAATATTTTCAAAACTATATGGTGTATAGGAAATGCTAATATAAAAATTTAGTAAAATTTTCAAGTATCTACTTGGTATCTACAGTCATTCGTTTTTTAATTACAACAAAATTAGAAAATCGTTACATGAGAAATCGAGTGAATATCAAATGTTGTAAAAATATGAATTTCAAACGTTCATAAAAATTTAATTTGAGATTCTTGTAGACATTTTTTTTTTGATAAAGGTAGACAAACTTATGAGGAATCTTGCATTACATTTTCATATCTTAGATTTAAAAAGAAAAATTTTTAAAAATTTCTAACTCGAAATAATTTGCAAATTTTCGTCATTTTCACGTATTTTGTCAATATTTGGAATTTCAATGCTTATAACAAAAAACTGTGACTAAGGATTTTTAATATTTTTCATCTGTCTTTGAAACAATATATTAGGAGCCTTCTATTAAATGTTTAAGCTTTTATACCCAACAAATAAAATTTTATTGATACTTATAGAAAAAAAAATTAAAAAAATGGAAACTAAAAATGTCCGTAAAGAAGCTCAAAATAACTCAAAATATTTAGAAAATTTTATCATATATAGAAAATGGAAATATAAATAACCAGTGAGAATTTCATATATCTATGGTCATTTGTTTTAAAGTTACATCAAAAACCAAAATTAATTTTCTCGAAAACAGATTTTGCGTAAAAATTCCCGTTTTTCCTTAATTTTTCTTTTGTTTTTCACGATGCTTTTGACCCCCAAAGTGCCAACTAGATTCACTTTCCTATCAGAAAAGATACTGTTGAAGAAAATCCAAGCACTTTTACTGTCCTAAAAGATGATGACAGGAAAAAAAAAAAAAAAAATGAATTCGTGAATTCGTAAACAGTTGTCAATATTTGTAATGAAAAGAAAAATTCCGAACCAATAAACCACGATAGTTTATAAATGATTGGTGAAATACTGAAATAAACTGAGGGTGCTAGTTTGAAGCTTGGGGGTGCTAAGCACCCCCAAGCACCCCCCTATGTGCGCCTATGATTATGACAACGAAGCTCGTGTCCGCAATTGTTATATTATAATTCCTAACCTGAATAATTCGTCCGCAACTAGTATGTGTCCATTATACGATATTGCCACCTACCATTATATTGCAGTACTGACTACTGAGTACTGAGACTATGTAGCTTGTTATTCGATTATATTTATGTTTGCTCCCCCATACATTGTCCCTTAATACGGCCCTGTATATCTATAGTCAGCGCATTATTTGCTTTCCATCTTTGATCCACACGTAGCATACCTAATGTACGAATAACAGAACACTGAAAAAAAAACCACGATCATATTGACAAAAAACTATGTTGAGTTGACAATAATCTTGTTGATATACAGCTAATAAGATTATTGTCAACCCAACAAGTATAAAATTGTTAATGAGACAATAATACTAATAATATAGCATTGTATTATTGACAAATATATTATTAAACTGATTATTGAAACTGTTAATTAGATTTATTTTTCATCATTACATCGACAATTATCTTATCAGCGTAATAATAAATATTACTAATTTTTCCATTTTCCATTGTTAAATGAAATATATCAGCATTGTATTATTGACAAATATATTGTTAAATTGATACTTGAAATTATTAATTAAATATAATTTATCAGCACTAAATTGACAATTATCTTATCAACATTACCAAGGTGGCAAGGCCGTATCCAGAAATTTTTTTTTTTTTTTTTGGGGGGGGGGGGGTCCAAAACATGTATATTGTAATTATATTTGTTGTATAGGTTTGGATATTTGGTTCAAAATAAGACAATGAAGAAATTTCGGGTGGGGTCCAGACCCCTTGCGCCCCCCAACCTTAATCATTAAAATAACTGAACTAATTTATATATTGGCCATTGTTAAAATAATAATTGGAATGTTACTAATTTATATCAAAACCATGTATTAAAAAATTGTCAATTCATGAAAAGCGTTTTAGTAAAACAGAAAATATTACAATCTTTTATGCAAATAATAATTAAAATAAAAACACAGTATGGATATAGTATGTATAAAAAATTACTTCTTTATTTTAATTTTTAAAAATATAATTACTATTTATTGATTAAGTTCAGCTAAAATTTGAACCAATTTAGGAAAAGGTGTATCATATCTCGAATGTACACAAAAGAAATATTTTTGAATAAATTGCCATACAATAGCAGATTGAGACGGATATTCCAGATTAAATAAATGGAATATTTTAAAGCATACTTCTATAGATCTAAGCACTGAATGAACTTTATACATTACAGAGTCAAAATACACTAGTATTTCTTTCTGAACATTCATTGTACCGACAATCAGGATGAATGGTTGTATAGGAATCCCTCGGTTTCGAAGTTGCTCAAGATGATGTTGCTGGGCTTCTACAGATTCTTTGAATACTATGAAGCTATCTTGAGAATCTTTGATAGAGTATTTGACCATATTTTTCTTGCCGTTACTGTCTGTAGTCACTTTTCTTGACGTTGGCGCAAACATAGCATGCAACAAATAAAATAGTGCAGCATTTTTGACATCTGTAATTTAAAATTTTAAACTCATTATTAAAAAATATGTAAGACACAAATGAATATAATTTACACAATTAAGTAAAATACAATTATTGTTTAGTCAAATATTCAAATATCTTACTTTCGTTCATATCAATGTCGTTATTATTTGATACTAAGTTTTCTAGTATTTTACGGCAATTAGTATCTTTGACTTTTTCATCGAGCAATTTGATAATTTTTTCTGCTTTATCATTGAAATCATGGTAAATATTATTAGTAATTGGAAATAAAGCGTTATAATCAATATCAATCTGAAACATAATTTGATAAATTTTAAATTATGTATTTTATTCATTAAACATGTTAATTATTTACTAGTTTATGCCCATATGGGAGTAAATAATGTTTCCAGGTTTTTAAAATATCTGCAGTTGATGTAGCACATTTTATATTATTCAGACGATAATTTATGGTTGCATTCCACATTGATTCTAATTCTGGGAATGTACTATTACCATGTTTAAGAATATCAAGTATACCATCAATTTCAATTTCAGAAACTAAAAATATTTAATATTTAATACACAAAAAAAGTATATATACAGATCAATAAGCATCTACAATTAGATATATTCAATAAAATTTACCAAATTCTCTTTCAGTCCAATTGGTTTTCTGGTGTTTGTCATTATATGTTTTATGCTTCACTGCTGACGTGGGGACTAATCCATTATTTTTTAAATTTCTCAGACAATTGTAATATTTTGCATATAGCTTTCCTTTTGGGTTCTTATTATTTCCAATTTTCATAAAATATACATCCTAGATAGGTACATATACAATTAAAAAATTATTGAACAGTTATCATAGTTTATCAATTTCAATAATTACCTTTACTTCTGATTTAAACATCACTACAATTTGATCGGCAATTGATTCTGCCAAGATGACAGACATTGGTAATTTTTGAGATAGTACACTTCCAATGAGGATGTCGACTAGCGTTGATCGAATGCCATCATTCAGTTTATTATTTTTCTCATAATAACTTAATATTAGAGCACCTTGTGTAGTAGAGTTCAAGACTTCATCTACTTTCAATTGATATTTGATATTTGGGGATTTGTGAAAATATTCTACAATTGGTGTGCTTGAAGAGCACAACACAATTTCACCCAAATTTGTACTACTATTATGGTCATTACTTACAGTTACAATACTATTATTTGTTTGCCATTTTGTAAGTTCGAATTCAAATTTAAAAATTATTCCCCAAGGGAATTTCGATAATAGTTTCTCGACATGATATGTTTTCATAATAGATAGCATTTTAATATCTATCAATTGATCTACATAAACATTACATTAAAAATATATTAGTTTAACATTTTTAGATTTATTAAGAATATATTATTGTAAATAATATAATACATTTAGAATTAAATTGATTTCTTACCCACACAGGTTTGATAAACACACTGTAAACCCCATTTTTCAAGTAGTTCTTTAAGTTGAGGTAATTCATCATATGGGTAATTGTAATCCAATATATCATTTTCAGCAGGATTCATGTTATTTGATAAATCAGGTATCTGACCAATTTCGGTTAACTACATAATCAATGAAATAAATAGGTAGGTAAGTAATCAATTGTTACTGGTTTTAAATCTATAAGAACTAGATATGGATAACATTTTACAATGTTATACGTTTTCAAATTATTTTTGTTGAATAACTGTTTTTAAAAATATTTTCATTCCAGATAAAAGTATAAACAATAAAATAATATAAATAAGAATTTTATTACAAAAATTAAAATATTACATACATTACAAGAGGAATCTTCATAAAAATTGACATAGTGTGCATTAAGATTGTCATTACTATTAGCCATCTTGGTTTATAATTATAATTGAAACAAAAACTACAGAATCTATATAGTTTAACAAAAAAAAAGATAAAATTAATGTTGCATAAATTTTAGAAGTTATACATGATGATAAATAAACCTAAATACAAATGCATAATTAGTTAATAACAATTAATAAAACTCTTTTAAACGGATCATTTTTTGACCAGATGAAATTTTACTTATATTTATAGGAGGTCCACTAAATTCATCTACATTAGAAATACAATTACGATTAACAACTTCTTCGTTATAATCTACACTAAAAGATTCAAAATGAGAATTGAAATGATTTAACTTTATTTCATTAGCCATAACATAAACATTACTATCTGGTTTATTAATTAATACAATTTCACATATTTTAAATAAGCATATTTTATCACAGTTTTTTGTTAAAAAATAATCTTTTTTGTATACAATTCCATTTAACATTAATTCAGTATAACAGGCATATTGCAACACAGTCAAATTAAGTTTGTTATTTATATTTTCTGTATAATTACTTTGAATTTTATGTTTATCATTTACAATAATTTTTTTATCAGGTAATACCATTAAGCTATGAGCAAATTTTAATTGCATTTTTTTTGCTAAGGTTAATGTAATGTTTTTCCTAGAAGTTGTTGACCTTGCATACATCTTTAATTCTTTATGTTTACCCTCATAACGAAAACACCAATAATGTCTAGGAGGGCCTGAATTTGTTATTATTGTTGGATAGTGGATCATAAAGTGATGTTTCGGTTTTAAGGTGTCATTGAAAAGTGTTATGTACATAGAATTATGATGAGAAATTAATTGTTTAAGATGGGAAATTGCACTATCAGTAAAGGTATAAGATAAAAGAATGTCTATAATTTGAATTAATAAAAGAAAAAGGTTCCAAACTTCATCATTTTCAGGGATAAGATCTCCTACCATGAGAGGAAAAAAATGAACAAATGTCATAACTTCCCTAGCTGACATTTTTAAATGTTTTTTTTCTAAATGAATCATTTTTATGGGGGGTGAAATGTTACCTATCTCAATGGGTCCATAATTAAAATTCATTTTGCGATTGTTTAAAGTTTCAAGTGAAAACAATTTAGCAGTAACAATATAATATTTAATTATGTTACACAAATCATAGTGACAAACGCCCTCAAACAAATCGTGCATTATATCTATACAAAAATTTTGTGTGACGTGGAACCCAGTTACTTGATTTAACAATGATTCTTGATAAACCCCTGTCTCTGCAAAATTCATACTAGCAACATCATCAGAATAATTGTGTGCATTGCGCAAAAGACTCGAGTCTTCTTCAAGCATTGTTATAGTTGAGGCTTTAGAAGCTTTACAAAAGCGACAAAAAAAATTGGCTGAGAAAGATTTACTAAATTCTAATAAGCTATTTAGACCCAAATTATCTCCAAGAACTATGCCTAGGACAAAATGAACATGAAAATCACCATCTTGAGTTTTAATATCTATCCCTTCATTTTCAAGTATATTTATTTCGTTTACTAGACTTTGTAAACATTTATCATTACCAAATGATTTAATATCAATGTGTTTAACTAGAGCAGCTAAAAATATAGTTGATAATTTTGAATTGTTTTCTGATAGTGGGAAACTATAATATAGAGCGGAAATAGACTGAAATGTAGCATGTGAGCCTAAAGGATTATTTATTTCAAATTCATCCATGTATAAAAAAAATGGAAATATTATCTTTTCATTAGAAAATATAGAAACTTTTTGTTGCCAAAGGCTTCCTTGAACAAAATGTTCAATAGAAGTACATTGATTGTTTTTATAGTAATTTAACCGAGTATACTGTTCTTTAAAATTATCTCCATTTTCAAAGAATTTTTTAAACTGAAACTGCAAAGGTAAGAGTACACCTTTGGTGATTTTTTCATTATACACTGATTCACCATTGTATTGTACAGGACAAATTTCATTATTAATGGTAAATTGATTTATTTTAAATAACAGTTCATTCTTTATAAGCCAATTTACTAAGCGATACTCAGTGTTACAGTATAAAAAAGGATTTTCTATAACAGAAGCAATTCTATGAAATTTAGCAACCTTAATTGGTTCTTTAATTTCATCATCTACTACATTCTTCAGCATGGCTACAATTGGTTTAATTATTTTATTTATTATACTAGTTTGAATATTGGTAATGTCTACTCTAGTAAAATTATTATTATTATGCAAATTTACAACAAATTCTATTGCAGATTTATACAGAGATTCACTAGCTAGATCAAAATCAAATGGATTATTAGTTAAATTATCAGTTAAAACATTATCATCAATTAAGTTTTCAATATTGTGTGGTAGTAATGAAGAATTGAAACATGATTGGTCTTGTGGTTGATTATTTGATGGGATGTTTTCAGGGAAATGTTTATGTAGAATATGTCGTTTAAATGAAGCTAAGCATTGAAAAGATTGTGTACAAGTCCCTTCACAACATGTATAATTACTGTCTGTTTTAAGTAAATGAAAAATTTTAAAATGATAAACTAAAGATTTCCAACTATCAGCTTTAAATTGACATAAATAACAAAGCATTTTTAAAAATAAACTTACAAAAATATATAGCTACAATAATACACCTTTAAGTAGATATAGCAAAGTGGTGTATTTCAATCATAAACCTTTTGAAGAAACTTCTACCCACTGTCCCACTAGATATTTGTTATATATTTTTACCTACTATTAAGTATTAATAAAAAAATTAGAATTTAACAAACTATGTGACTTACTTGAAACGTACTGTATTAATCAAAATAATCAAGTTTCTTTAACGACAAGTATGGTTCATTTCCAAGATTTTAAAACACAAAACAAACAATATATGTTTAGCAACTATACTGCACCTTTAGGTAGATATAGCAAAGTGGTGTATTTCAATTACAAATCTTTTGAAGTCACTACTACCCACTAGATATTTGTCAAATGAATAAACACTGCCTGAATAAAAATAAAAATAAATATATAAGTAATTTTAAGTAGGTATGAATAAAAAATTAGAAATAACCAAATTATGTAACTTACTTGAAAGTTGAAACGTACTGGGATCATCAAAATATTCGAAAAGCACAAAACGACCAATTTAGGTTAAGCAACAATACACCTTTATGTAGATAGGCAAAGTGGTAAATTTCAATCATAAACCTTTTGAAGAAACTTCTACCCACTAGATATTTGTTAAATAAATACACACTGCCTAAATAAAAATAAAAATATAATATATAGATACCTACTATTAAGTATTAATAAAAAAAATTAGAATTTAACAAACTATGTGACTTACTTGAAACGTACTGTATTAATCAAAATAATCAAGTTTCTTTAACGACAAGTATGGTTCATTACCAAGATTTTAAAACACAAAACAAACAATATATTATGTTTAGCAACTATACACCTTTAGGTAGATATAGCAAAGTGGTGTATTTCAATTACAAATCTTTTGAAGTCACTACTACCCACTAGATATTTGTCAAATGAATAAACACTGCCTGAATAAAAATAAAAATAAATATATAAGTAATTTTAAGTAGGTATGAATAAAAAATTAGAAATAACCAAATTATGTAACTTACTTGAAAGTTGAAACGTACTGGGATCATCAAAATATTCGAAAAGCACAAAACGACCAATTTAGGTTAAGCAACAATACACCTTTATGTAGATAGGCAAAGTGGTAAATTTCAATCATAAACCTTTTGAAAAAACTTCTACCCACTAGATATTTGTTAAATAAATACACACTGCCTAAATAAAAATAAAAATATAATATATAGGTACCTACTATTAAGTATTAATAAAAAAAATTAGAATTTAACAAACTATGTGACTTACTTGAAACGTACTGTATTAATCAAAATAATCAAGTTTCTTTAACGACAAGTATGGTTCATTTCCAAGATTTTAAAACACAAAACAAACAATATATGTTTAGCAACTATACTGCACCTTTAGGTAGATATAGCAAAATGGTGTATTTCAATTACAAATCTTTTGAAGACACTACTACCCACAAGATATTTGTTAAATGAATAAACACTGCCTAAATAAAAATAAAAATAAATATATAAGTACTTTTAAATAGGTATGAATAAAAAATTAGTAATAAACATATAATGTGACTTACTTGAAAGTTGAAACGTACCTACTGTGATCATCAAAATTTTCGAAAAGCACAAAATGACCAATATAGGTATGGCGTATAGCTACAATACAAAGTCAGGTAGATATAGAAAAATTATGTAGGTACTGATATATTTAAATCATTAACGACATTAACCTTTAAGACACTGGAGTTAAATGAATACACTGATCTCGCAACGGTTATTTGGCGTGAAATGTTAATTGTCAATATCGAATGTACGAATTACGAACCATGTTAAATTATTGATAATATTATAACAAAAATATGATAATAGTATTGTTACGACGACAATATATCGTCAGTTCTGGGGAATCCCGGCTTATAAATATATATTAAATGTTTAAAAAAAACACAACGTAAATGATAATATCAATAATAGTCATATTATTGTTTTGATAATATATTATTTATTTTATTATTTTATTGTCCGTATTATTAACAATACGCATATTTAAATTTATTAAATAATTATAAATTCATCAAACATATTGTCATTTTAACAAAATATTGTCTATATGACAAATTTAAGCATTGTTCAAGTTTAATAAGACGATATTGTCAATGTTACCAGGGGTTTTTTTTTCAGTGAACCAAAACGAAGTTGTTACTTTTAATGTTAGATTAAAAATATTAAGTTAAGAAAATTACATACGTCGTTACGTTGGTTACTTGATGATATTTTAATTATTATATAAGTTATGACTAATGATCGTCTAAATAATTACAATTTAAAAATGATTATAAAAGATTAGACAAATGTAAAGAAAAAAAAAATTATAATTAATCTACTAAAAAATAAAAATATCTATATATTCATTATTAATACTTAAAGTATAACAATATATGCAATACGAAAAAAATAAATGAAAACTAAAATGTTATCCCAGGAAAATATTAATTCAACAGTGAAAGGGTTAAAATATTCAAGTTTTATAATAGGTTAATTCAATCTAATATTAAAAGTAACAACACTAACCCAGTGATTTCTAGCGTACGGGTAAGGCGATCATTATTAGCCGAAAAATAAAATAGTTCATTAACATTTTTAAACTTATCAGTTTTCGTTATATAGTCACTAATCATATAAGTAACTAATTTTCGTTTTTAATAATATTTAAATTATATACAAGAATAATTTAATAATATAATATTATACGATTTTTTACGATTTTTTACAATTTTATATAATATATTCAACATAAAAAAATTCTATTTTATTAAAAAAGTAAAGAAAATCTAAATTTTTTTGGTATTCAATTTTGAACAGTAAAGCAAAAAAATATTTGTGTTTGGGAGTTTAGGTTGGCCTATCAACTATAAATTACTTATAAATATATATTTATGCCTGTACGAAATTAAGTCCTTGAACCGGCTCTGGTTGATTCTGTTAAACGTAAATATGATTGTGCGTGGGTCAGAGAGAGAAATAAATGGTGCGCTAAAAATCTGACATCCCTTATAAGTGTTATCAAGTTGAAGAAGCAGTTGATTGTTGACAATTTAACATTTAACATTAACTGTGGTAGGTATGATTGGAAGTAAAAGTAATTAGCAGGGCTGTGAATTTAATTCATTAAAAAAAGTGTTATATATTACACATGTATGCACTAAAAACAAGCAAAATATGATTTAAAATATGCACTGAAGTATTCAAAAATATGCACTTAAAATTCGAAAAAATACTGAATGAAAACGCGTTTATTAAAAACTGTTTAAATTAATAAATAATAATTAAAATTGGTATACCAAAAAAAATTCTTTATTATACACTTGGTAGGTAGGTACCTATTTAGTTTTCTAACGAATGAACCTAAATTATAAAAACATTTTAAGCATATTGGCAACGGTGTTGTAATAATAGTGATGTCCCAGATTATGTGATGTCCATTATTCTGCAAAATTTTACATCGCCTATGGCCGTTATATTGAATACGCACGTGCACCGTATCACTTTAATTATTTGTTGATATCAAATAATATTATTAAAGTGTGACCAGCATAGCACATTTTTTGTAAAAAAAATTTTCCCAACAATCAATAGTTTTTGAGATACAACGATGTCCCATCCTACCTCTATTCCTCGTCTTACCCAGGTTTCTCTATAAAATACTTTTATTGTAATAATTGTTCAAATGTTTATTATAGTACATTATTAAAAATTAACTAAAGTTTAATATAATACATTATAACAAGTGTTCAAATATACAAGTCACACCACATATTTTGTTACTTCACACAGTCTCTCTTTAATTTCAAATTTTTCTTCAAATTATCCCAAATTATCTACATAATATAAATGTAAAATGTAAATTGGAAGACTTGATTGAGTAGGTATTAATAATTTATCTAAAAGAGATGGGCCTGGTCGCCTCATTACTATATCGAGGGGCCATGGTGCAAGCGCTGTCCATAAAATATATCAGCACATATTACATTAGAAATACAAAATTAATAAAACAGTAAATTATAAAAAAATATTACGAAATGTACTATAGGTACTCATATTATATTATGATTGTATAAATTGGAAGACTTGATTGAGTTGGTATTTAATAATTTATCTAAAAGAGATGGGCCTGGTCGCCTCATTACTATATCGAGGGGCCATGGTGCAAGCGCTGTCCATAAATATCAGCACATATTACATTAGAAATACAAAATTAATATAACAGTAAATTCACGTCCACCAATAAAGTACCAGAAAAAAAAGAAGATTAATTCAAAAAATAGAAGGTACCTACATCATAAACTTTTGTAAAAGCATGATTGTGTTAGTCACAGTCTTGTCTAAATGGTATTGTCTTATGTTTTCCCAATCTAACTATACACAATACTGAACATTAATGAAATCACAAATATTTATACAAAAGAGAGACTGTGCCTTGATTTACAAATATTTCTTAAATTTACTTTTTGCATAGAGAATATGAAGGTGGAATGGGCTTTT